TTATGCTGGGAATGAGCATTTCTGTATGAAATAGAGTAGGATGGGAATGTTCTAACAAATTATTTGTTTAATTTTATTTATTATTTTAATCCATTGGGGGTGGGGGAGGAGGTGAGAAATCAAGTTGCCAGGTCTGGGACTCGTACTGTGGTTGGCTATGTGGGAGTCCAGCGCCTTAACCACCATGCTACCCACTGGTCCCTAGGATGGAATTTAAAGTTAATGATTCAGAGGAGTGCATATAGCAGAGATGGGGGTAAGTTGAGAAAAATGGAAAAGTAAATCTGTGGATCAAAATCCTGAAAAATAGGATAATAGTCCTTTTACCAGCGGTGTAGGTAGAATTCTCATCAGGCTATCTCGTGTGTGGACTAGAGATGATTAACAGGGAGGGATAATGAGAAACCAGAGTCCAGGAGGCCTGCTGGGAAGCTTGTGGAATGAGGTGAGGTAATGAGGGCTTGACATTTCTTAACCTGATTTCCATAACCAGATTCCTTGGAGCCTCCTATGCTGTTTTTAAATTTACCACCATCTGTTCTCCTGTACAAGTGGACTTCTGTCATCACCATTCCACTAATAGGTTTCTTTCTAAAGTTACTGGTGATCCGGCCAAATATAATGGTCATCTTTTGTATTCTCCATATTTAATGAACTGCTGTAGCCACCAGCCTAAGTACTAACAGTGGAGGCACTTTTTTTTGCCTTACTACCAAGAACATATAAAATCTTTTAAGTTGTAAAGAAAACAAGCCCCATTTTTTTAGAGTTTAAAGATGTATTTTATAATGTACTTAAAATTCACACTAGCAGAACTCATTAATGTAAGCACAACCGTGGAATAATTCATACACATGCTCTCTTTTTTTTAAAAAAGCAATTACTTATTTAATTTTATTTATTATTATTCTTCACTTTGACCAGAGAGAGGCAGGGAGGGAGGGGAGGAGGAAGCAAGCCACCAGGTCTGGGACTCTCAACTACATTCATCCATGGTGGGAGTCTAGCACCTTAATTCCCATACCACCTGCTAGTCCCACACATGATGTCCTTGAAGACTAGATACTTTTATTTTTCCCTAGCCTTTTTAGATCTTAACTTTAAGACTTAGTTGAAGTTCTCTCTTCTCTATTCCTGGAGGTGAATCCACCTGGTTCTCTTTATCTGAACCTTTGCAGTAACACCCAGAGCTCAGCCTGCATTTTGATTTAGTTGTTTCTCTTGTCTAGTCTTCCTGATTGATTTATAGGTTCTCGGAGGACAGGAATTTCATGACACTTCCTGTGTGTGTATTTTTTCCCCCTTCAAGTATAGCTTTATACGTGTATAATTATAAATCCTTATTAAGTATGTTGTACATGTATTAAATACCTTGTATGTTTACACTGTATGACTGAGACTTGTACAATCTCATTACTGGCACTGCTAAAAGGGAACAGAAAGTAAACATGGTTTTCAATAGGGGCATCCGCAATAATGATTATATTCTAATTTGGAACATGCTTTTATATTAACTTTGGAAATGCATGTAACTGGTTGCTTTGGGAATTTGAACAAAGTAAAACTCTACTCAGTGGAGACTTGATTGAGGTAAATAGGATGACAGCATGTTATAATAATAGCCAATGTTTATTGAATGAAATATGAATAATAATAGCAGCAACTATCACCACCACTACCAGAAGCTTACATTTATTTATTGAATACTTAGTATTTTCCTGACATTGTTCTGAGTACCTTATATCAGTGAGGTATAGGTACCATTTTAATTATTCTCATTTTACTCATCAGCTGTAGTAGAAAAACTAGTAAATGAGGTATTAATAGACTTGGTTTTAGGTTTAGGTTAACTCCCTCTGTTAAAGTGGGTGAGCCTTCAACTTCAGTTGACTTTAGTTTTTCATCTTTAGATTGAAGAGAGTAGTCTCTAATCTCTAGAGTATTTTCACCACCCTTTTGGCATTCTGTGATCACTAAATTAGCTTGTGTTCTTATTCTATAAATCCTTATAGCTTGCCTTATGCTGGGAATGAGCATTTCTGTATGAAATAGAGTAGGATGGGAATGTTCTAACAAATTATTTGTTTAATTTTATTTATTATTTTAATCCATTGGGGGTGGGGGAGGAGGTGAGAAATCAAGTTGCCAGGTCTGGGACTCGTACTGTGGTTGGCTATGTGGGAGTCCAGCGCCTTAACCACCATGCTACCCACTGGTCCCTAGGATGGAATTTAAAGTTAATGATTCAGAGGAGTGCATATAGCAGAGATGGGGGTAAGTTGAGAAAAATGGAAAAGTAAATCTGTGGATCAAAATCCTGAAAAATAGGATAATAGTCCTTTTACCAGCGGTGTAGGTAGAATTCTCATCAGGCTATCTCTCGATTTACAATTGCTATTGCTTAATCTGGTTTACTTTATAGTGTATTATTATCTCCCCAAGATACTTTAAGACTAACATTATTAACTAGTACTTATTGAATGTTTCTTCTATGCATGTATTATGACATTTAATTTTTGAAGTAGTCTTTTTTTTTTTTTTTTTAAGAGAAGTTTTTGTTGTAAGGCGTGTGCACTCACCAGACAGACAGACAGAAAGTGAGAAATCACCCCCCCAGGGGAGATGGCCACGTCACAATCCCTTCTCCTCCATTCTCTTCTCGGGATCTTGGGCACGCACGCACACGCGCCTGGCATGAGTTTAAGCCACCGGTTCTGGGACTCGAACCGCGGTCGACTATGTGGGAGTCCAGTGACATAGCCATTACACTAACTGCTGGTCCCAGTAATGTCTTTTTTTTTTTTTTGAGAGGCTTTTGCTTTAGGGTGAGTGTGCTTTCAGAGAGAGAGAGAGACAGAGATAATGAGCAGGAAAGTGAGAAAGTACCCCCTCCCTCCGGGGGGAGGGGTGGCCATGCAGCAATCCCTTCTTCATTTTCCTCCCAGGATCTTGGGGACGCACACACATGTGTCCTGTCGTATTTTTTATTATTATTATTATTTTTTTTTTTTTGGAGAGGTTTTTTTGCTATAGGGCGTGTGCGCTCGCCAGACGGAGAGAGACAGAGAGACAGAAAGCAAGAAATCACCCCCCAGGGTGGATGGTCACGCCACAATCCCTTCTCTTCCATTCTCCTGTCAGGATCTTGGGCACGCACACACACGCGCCGGGCATGAGTTTTAAGCCACCAGGTCCGGGACGCGAACCGCAGTCGACTACGTGGGAGTCCAGCGACATAGCCATTACGCTAACTGCTGGTCCCAACCCTGTCGTGGTTTTCACGTCACCAGGTCTGGGGCTTGAACTGTCGTTGGCCATGTGGGAATCCAGTTATGTAACTGCTATGCCACTTGCTGACCCCAAAGTAATATCTTTACTGTAGGTACTGTTTGATTTTGTAGATGAGAAATTTAGGGTTGAGAGAGAATGAACATTTTCATAGTTCCACAGCTAATAATTGCCAGAATCATACTTGAATTCTGGTCTTCCTGATTCCAAAACCTGTGTTCTTTATTGATTAAGTTTATTGCCTCCCAGAAGTGTGCCCTACTCTATATCCCAGGTTGCTTTTCCCAGGAGGCATTTGAGATGAGCGGAGATAGGGGATTTTCTTGGCTACAGAGGTTTTCTTTTGACTGAGGTACTTTAAGTTTCTTACTTTGTTTTCTTTTCATTCTTCTCTATATTATTGTCCATCATTATATTTCTGCTTTTTTGATTTTAGCAAAGAAGGGCCAATGTCCTTTGCTGAAAGTGAAAAATTCTAGTGTGAAGTATCAAGCTTTGTTTCTGTACTCCAGTCCTAATTCTTAAAGCTGCTTCCTCCTATTTCTAGAATATGTATTAACCTGGCATAATTTATTTTCTTTCTCTGGAAAGTAATGATCTGACTTTCCAGCATTGGACAGGAACTCATCACAGGATCGAAGTCACTGGTCCCTTGTCTGAGCCTGCCCTTGAGTTTTTTAAATGCTGCTTTTCTTGCTTACTATCTTGGTGATTTAATTGCTTTTATTTTATATTCTACATCTTTAGTTAGTATAAGTTTGCTCCTTGACTTGTTTTCAGAAATAACTGCCAGGTGCTGCCTGTCCACCTTCCTCTTGCTCTCACTGTCCTTGACTTTGCATTCCTCTTTGCGGTGAATCCTGGCTGTTGTAGCTCGTCTTATTTGTCTTGTCTACCCAGCTTTCCTCTTTTTACCCTCACTCTGCTCAACTCTACCTTCTTTCCTCCACACACATTCTTGTGCCTATTTCTTAAGTACTTTTTTTTTTGAGAGGTTTTTGCTAGAGGGCGCGTGCGCTCACCAGAGCGACAGAGAGATAGAAGATGAGAAATCACTCCCCAGGGGGGATGGCCACGCCACAGTCTCTTCTCCTCTTGGGATCTTGGGCATGCATGCACCCGCACCCGGTGTGAGTTTAAGCCGCTGGGTCCGGGACTTGAACCACGGTCGACTACGTGGGAGTCCAGCGACATAGCCATTATGCTGACTGCTGGTCCCTCTTAAGTACTTTTCTGACCTCTTGTCTCCATCTTACTTTTGATATTTTTTTCTGCTTGTATGACTTCCCTAAAATTTGTATAAAAGAAATGCCAGATGTACAGTCTTAAATTTTGAAGAGCATGTGATGTGGATGAGTAAAGAGCTAAGCTACTGACTGCTTTTTTCATACCAACATCTGTTGCCCTATTAAGGTGGCAGATAATTTTTTTTTTTTTTTAAGGAAGATTGACATCAGAATCACTTTGTATGTATGCCTGTATCTTAAACATTTTAAAATTAGGTTTATGTTTTGGAGAGGGAAAAAAATTAAGAAAAAAGATTGGAAATGTTGATCCCGTAAATATTTATTGGTCATTAACATACTCAGTCTTTTTCCTCCAGATTTAACTCAGGCTTTCCCTCACTTTGGAACTCCTAGATTTGTGAATATTGGATATTTTGAGAAGCAGGGATTCTTTCCTTGATACTGACTAAGTCTATTTGCCTTCAGGATGACATCTGAACTGGAGAGCAGCCTAACATCTATGGACTGGCTACCACAGCTTACCATGAGAGCAGCCATCCAAAAATCCGATGCTACACAAAATGCGCATGGGACAGGAATATCTAAGAAGAATGCACTTCTTGACCCCAATACAACCCTGGACCAGGAAGAAGTCCAACAGCACAAAGATGGGAAACCTCCATACAGTTATGCCAGCCTCATTACATTTGCAATTAATAGCTCACCCAAAAAGAAAATGACTTTAAGTGAGATTTACCAGTGGATTTGTGATAACTTCCCGTATTATAGAGAGGCTGGCAGTGGTTGGAAGGTAAGAATTTTAAATTATTTCTTTTATGCAGTCAGCAATAATAATAGTGACCTTTGTTGAAAATTTAGGTTTGTGAGGTTTTTAAAACTGAAGGTGAAATTCTGCTTACTAGTAAGTCATTTTTAGGGTGTCAAAAGCAGAAAATAAATGTTTTTAATTTGGGTGAAGGATTTTATTTTTGGTAGACCATTAGAGCTTTATTATAGTATAGGACTGACATAGCATAAAGTTAGGAGCAGAGATACTACAGCATTCACTGGAATACAGTATCCACAGTTCAGCTAAGTTGATAGCCTAAGGTAAAAGACAACATAGTATAGGTTGAACATCCCTGATCTGAAAATCCAAAATTCTTTGAAATCCAAAATATCTTGAGTGCTGATGTGATGCCAAAGTGGAAAGTCCCACACCTGACCTCATGTAATTGGTTGTAGTCATAAAAATATTGTGTAAAATTATCTTCAGGCTATTTATATAAGGTTGTATGTAAAACACAAATCAATTTAGTGTTTAGGCATGAGTCCCACCTCTAAGATATATATATATATGCAAATATTCCAAAATCCAAAAAAAATCTCTGAACCCCAACCCTTTGGTCCCAAGCATATTAGATAAGGCATACTGAACCTGAACTGCAGTGATTACTATGTTCATCCTCTAAGATGATTTTATTTTAAGGTTTTTGCAATAGAGCACATGCATTGGCTGAAGAAAGAGTGACAGTGAGAAGGAAAGTTAGGAATCATCTCCCAGGGGTGATGGCCATGTTGTATGTAGTTCCTTTGTAGTTCCTTCTCCTCCAGTCTCCTAGGATTTTGGGTACACATGCACATGCACCTGGCATGAGTTTCAAGCTGCCAGGTCCAGGACTCAAACTGCTGTCAGCCATGTGGGAGTTTAGCGTCTTTAAAGATAAAACAAAACAAAAACCTCAGCCTTTTCATTTTGAAAGAATTTTTGATTTACACAAGAGTTACAGTAGTATAGAAGGTTTCCATGTATACTTCACCTGCTTTCTCTGATGTTAACATCTTATATAAACACAGCACAGTTATCAAAACCAAAAAACTATTGTTGGTACTGTCCTATTGACCAAACAGTACTGTTAACTATTAAGTAAATTATAGACTGTATTTTCATCTCATCACTTTTCCCCTAATGCCCTTTTATGTTCCAGGATTCATTCCAGCATCCCTCATTATATTTAGTTGGCATGTTTCCCTAGTCTTTCCTCCCATCTGTAAAGGTTCCTTAATCTTTTGTGTCTTCTTTGGCCTTGACTCTTTTGAAAATACTCAATCAATATTTTGTAGCATTTCTCTCAGTATGAATTTGTGTTTGGTTTTCTCATGGTTAGATTGAGGTAGTGCATTTTTGGGAAGAAGTAAAGCACTGTGCCCTTCTCTGCATGTTATCTGGAGGGGGAAGGATTATATCCGTGTCTTATTATTGGTAATGTCCCATGATTCTTTGGTTAGGGTGGTATCTGTTAGGTTTTTCTACTATAATATTACTATTGATAGTTATCACTTTGTTAATAGTAAGATGTTTGGGAGATACTTTGAATGAACGTATGCATATACCCTGTTTCCTTGTCTTCTAATTATAACATTCATTGATAGGTTATAATTGCAGCAATTTTTACTGGTTTCTTTTTTTAATTGCCAGAGGGAGCGTGCACTCATTCGAGACAGAGAAAGGGAGGGAGGGTGGGGGAGATCATTCCTCAGTGGGGCTGGCCACTTCACAGATTCCTTCTCCATTTCCCCATCCTGTTGGAGACACATGCACACACACTTGGCATGGTTTTCAAGCTGCTGGGGCTGGATTTGAATCACGGTCAGACATGTAGGAACCAGTCCCTTTAATCAGTAGGCTATGAGGCTGGTTCAATTTTTAGTTTTTTCTCGTGGTGATTTTCTTTATTCTTTTACTCCTTATATGTATATTAGTTTGTATTTGTCTACAAGAAAAAGTTGTGCCTTTTCTCCCTTCTTTTATTCAATCATTCAGTCATTCATTCATTTATAATAGTATGTATTCATGGATTATCTTATTCTTTTTGCTGTCATTGTCATTCAAAATGTTGTAGCATTTACATTGAGAGTTCCTCCAGATTGGTCTCATTCTTTTATTACCTTCTTTCTTTTGATACCACAGTATTCCAGCATCATCTTTTATCTTCCTTGTTCTAGTTTTAGAATGAGACTTTTTTTTTTTTTGGAGAGGTTTTTGCTATAGGACGCGTGCATTCGCCAAAAAGACAGAGAGAGACAGAGTGACAGACAGCGAGAAATCACCCCCCAAGGGTGGATGGCCGCACTACAATCCCTTCTCCTCTTTTCTCCTCTTGGGATCTTGGGCATGCACGCACACGTGCCCAGCGTGAGTTTAAGCCACTGGGTCCGGGACTGGAACTGTGGTCGACTACCTGAGAATCCAGTGACATAGCCATTACGCCAACTGCTGGTCCCTGGAATGAGCCACTTTTTAAAGGAGCCATTTCATTTACCATCATCTTACTACCTAGTTAATGTATGTTACACAAGAAATAATTCAATTTAAATTCTTTTGCCTCTGCACATGTTATATTTGTATTCCATTATAGGAATTACCTGTTTGTGTGCGGTGTTTGTGTGTGTGTACATGTGGAGGAAAGGGGAAGAGGGTTGTGGAGCTTTAGGTTTGCCATCAGATGGGATTCTTTAGCTTCTTTTATTCTTCCATTCCTCAACACCTTTATTTTTTCATCTGACTAAAATTTATTAAAGCCATTTGTTGATTTATTGCTTACTGATGTTATGTCATGTACTGTACCAGGTAGTCAAGTGTCTTAAGAGAAGGGATTGTGCTCATTGGACTTTTTTCCCTCTAGTCAGGAGGGACATGCATTTGCCAGAGAGGGAGGGAGAGGAAAAGAGAGGAGGAGGAAGAACTCCCTAATGGGGTCGGGACTTGCTCAGTCAGTCTCTTCTCTATTTCTCCATCTTGATGGGATTTGGGGCACACAGGCACCTGGTCCAGTGAGATTTTTCAAGCTGCTGGAGTTAGAATTCAGACTGTGGACAGCCATGTGGGGTCTGGTTCCCTTACCCACGAGGCTGTGGGGCAGACCCTCATTGTATCTCTCTTCCCCTCTTCCAAGCCTTAGTACACAATCCTTCCATTTAGTGAGCTTCAGTAAGTACCGTCTGACTGAAAACTTCAATCCTGATTCCAGTCTTCCTGCTTTACCTTTTGGCACTTTTCTCCACATACGCTTTTTCCTTTTGGGTATTCCAGTTTTTGACTGTCTCTATAAATAAATACTTTGGTTTCTTTCTTTTTTTATCCTATTCCTACTTGAATTTTTCTCTTTTACCCTTTTTCCAGTTGGCATTGCCCTGTTATTTCAGCTCATACGTTACTCTCTTCTCCCTGTAAAATTACTCTATTTCACGTGCTTGCTTGCTTGCTTTATTTGTGTGTATACGTGTGTGTGTGTGTGTGTGTGTGTGTAGAGAGAGAGACAGAGAGGCAGAGACAGACAGACCGACCGACCCTTCTGCCTCTGCTCCCTGAGTAGCTGGGACTACAGGTGTCTGCCACAACACTTGGATCTTTCACTTTCTTTAAATTTTTAATTTATTTTTTTTACTGATAGAGGGTATGTGCTCTAGCCAGAGAAAGAGACAGAGAGAGAGAAGAGAGAAAATGCACGCCCAGTGGTACATTGCCATGCTGCAATCCTGTTTCCTCCACTTCACTTTCCTATCGGGATCGTGGTTTTGCATGCATATGCCTCTTGAGTGTTTTTCTTTTCTTTCCTTTTTTTTTTTTAAAAGAATTATTTACTTAATTTTATTTATTCATTCATTTATTTTAATTTGATCAGAGAGAGAGACACGGGGGGGGGGGGAGTGAGAAAGCAAGCCACCAGGTCCAGGACTTGAACCATGGTCAGCCATGTGGGAGTGTCCAGTGCCTTAACCACCATGCCACCTGCTGGTTCCCTCTCTTGAGTGTTTTTCAAACTGCCAGATTTTCAAAGTGAGGTTTGAACCATGGTCCACCAGTCCGGGATCTGGCTTCCCATGCACAGTGCCTAACTTTTCTGCTTCCGTGCCAACCCCACCATGCTCTCTTAGATGGGGATCTCTTTGTATTGGCCATGCTGGCTACAAACTGAAGAACCTCCTGCCTCAGCCTCTTCAGGAGCTAGGACTACTGGCACAAGCCCATGTACTTAGCTGGGTACTAATCTTGGCCCTCCCCTACTGAGAAGCAGCATCAATCAGCATGTGCTACCATGACTGGGCCTCCATGTGTTTTATTAATAACAGTATTATAGAACTTAACAGATTTTTGCTCAGAGGTCTTGTTTTACTCATTTTTGTTTTAGTACTCAAGTATTCAAATGATAGTTGCTTTTATTATTTTCTCTGTTCCAGACCCAAAGGCACTGTACTAAGTGCCGTACATCATTGTCTCCGTAAGCCAATAGCAGCTTTATAAAGTGGACTATTATTACTATTTTGGTCCAAATATAAAGGTAAGAAAGCTGAGGCTTACAGATGTAATTTTTCAGAGTTTCTCATCTAAGAATGGAAGAGGCGAGATTTGGTACCCAACATGGTAGATTTGAAGATTTCAGTGTTGAGTCATTTCGTAGGGTTTGTGATTTTGCTAAAACAATTATTTATGGTATTTAATTTGTCAGGATTAACTCTCTGTTAACTGGTACGGTATAAGAAGTTGATAGGTTGTTGAAATTTACTTTGACTAAAAGTTCAATGTGGGACCAGCAGATAGTGTAATGGTTACATCACTGGACTCCCACGTAGTCAAGCACAGTTTGAGTCCCAGACCTGGTGGCTTAAAACTCACGCCAGGTTGTGTGTGTGTGTGTGTGTGTGTGTGTGTGTGTGTGTATGCCCAAAATCCCGAAAGGAGAATGGAGGAGAAGGGATTGCTGCGTAGCCATCCCCCCCTGGGGGGTGGGGGTGATTTCTTTCTGTTTG